CGGAGAGGGGAGCTCGACTTATTCGAACATCAATTGACAAGACATCTCTGAAATAATCGATGATTCAAGTTCGTATGCACATCACTGGACCGATAAACTAGGATATTCTGTATAACTGGATGCTATATGCATACGAATCCAATGTGAGCATACGTTGTAATAATCGGGCAAACCCTCGCGTGCCTCGATCCGGCGCGGCGCTCCGCACTGCAGGCCAGAGGTGCACCGAAAGCGAACTTGATAATCTGGAAGTCTCATAATCTCACTTCACATGAAACAGGGTAAAAGATTTACTTTTTGGGAGTGATGGGGGTATTCGAAGACGCAAATTGCAGATATATTGTGAGAGTGTGAGAGGTTCAGTTTCAAGACATTTTTTTGTGTGATTCTAATTTGAAAAACGGGGCTTTGAAAAGATGAAAAAAAAATTGACGACAAAATACTCGCAGGATGATCAAGAGGGATCGTAATAGAAGAAGAGGGGTGGATTATTGCTCTTGATCGAAACTCACAATAAATCGAATTGAAATTCTTTCCTGGGTCTCATGGGACTAGTTATCATAATAATGGCGTCTAAAAAATATATAAAGAATGTAAATTTGATATGTTGAATGTTTTAGGTATAGTGTGTGGGGTCTGTATCCTGAACTTCAATCTACATTTTTGTTTTTCACATAGAAAAAAAAAATTATTTGAAAACTAAATTACATAAAATGAAAACAGCATTATATTTCAAAGGAAAAATTATACGTTGTCCTCTCTATCATTATCTTCAGAGTCATCTTCGCTCTTGCTGTCTGAAGATGATTTTACTGGTACTCCGATTCATTCCACTGGTAGCGGAGGTGGTAAGAAGTGATTAAATCTGTAATATGCATTATACGAAAGTAAAAGGTTTTTGAGATATTTGAATATCGAATCCCCGATAAAAGGGAAAAACATTATTGAATGCCTAAATCATTACGTGCTATACCCTACCAACAAATCATTGTTCAGATATGAAAATTGTTTCAGTGAGAAAAAAAAAATACTTCAAACTAGGGATTCATATTTCTGGCACAATTTGACAATTTGGCGCATGATCGCTATTCGCGAAAATCACGAAGTGTGCGGCCTCTGGTGGCCAACTGTACAAGTCTTGCGAGTATGAACAACAAATATGGCGACCATTGTTTTGAATTTCATAAATATGTGTTTTATTTGAAAATAATTTATTTGTTGAAGTGCATATTCCAGTACCTCAATTCTCCCTGATGAAAAAACTCGAATTATTGCATGAACTTTCATTGTTTATAATGAAGAAACCAGTACCTACCTTATAATAATATAATATACATTTTCTCAAGCACAATTAGAATCATTGTATTAATGTTGGTTGCAATAATTTGATCTTGATAATAACTTCAAGTCCTCAATTGCTGGAGATCCTTGTTCATGTAAATCGATGATATTGTTCATTCTGAGCAGCCTCTCCAACCATATCTTCTTTCCCAACCCCTTCACTAGAATTCCATCTCCTTCATAAAAGCCAGTGATATTTCTTGATGAATTCAATTATTTCTTCATACCTATACCATATTGTTGTGATAGTTGATTCCTTATGGTTCCATTCCAATCCATGCAAGTGTTGAGTGGACCATTCCGACCATTCCATATGATTAAAACTGTGGGATTGTAGTGTGATATCAATGATGAATACCACCATTGTCCACATCAAAATGGCAATTTCTCTGCACAAAAAGTAATTTTTGCCATACTGGAAACCTTTTACGTATTTCAAGAAGTCAACTTATCATTCACTATTTTGCAAAATGATTTGGAAATTACCAATTTGCAATGAGTGCATACGGCAATGTTTTTGTTGTTCATACTCAGTTGGAAATTTGACGTTGATTTAACATATGATAGAGCCATCTATTGGTTCGTGATTTTCGCGAATAAGAGTGCTGCGTGTAAATGATATCGCTAGATGCTGTCGAGCTGTATTCGTCATGATAATCTCAACTCAATAGTCAAATAAAATATGGTGTCGCAGTAAAAAAAAATCAACAACCATCTCATAGTTCATTTGTTATGAACAGCCTATGAATTTTTCAATGACAATGAAAAATCTCTTAGGAAAATCATTTCAATTGGTTTATGAAATTTTAAAATCGGTTCAGAAACAACCAAGTTACAATGGGAGATATTCATGGTGAACCACCCTGTATGGAATGTGCAAATTGTATGCAAACCATCATCTCATATATACTGTGTGATCCACTAACCATCGTCAAAATTTGAACATCTCTTCGATTATCGATTATTTGAAGGATATCCAGTCAAATGATGTTCGAATAAGTCGAGATCTCCTCTCCGGAATCGTATGCAAATGTCGGAAAATTGAATAATGGGTCCCAATTCATTGTTTTACCAAGGGGCATGCAGACTACACTGAAAAACTGCCACTTCCGGTTTGTATGCCGCCCTTGGGGAGTGACGCCTATAGAGCTCTGCACGGGCCGGGCCAACCCGCGCGGGCCTAGGCCCGACCCGATCGGCACCGCGGGTCGGGCCGCCACGGGCCTGAAGAATGCAGCGTGCGGGGCGGGACGGGCCGATTCATAAGAAGTGCGGGGCAGGCCGATTCATAAAAATGAGCTCGGCGGACCGTGCGGGTTCCGCGGACCGTGCGGGTTTCGCTGACCGTGAGGGTTCCGCTGGCCGTGCGGGTTCCGCGGACCGTGCGGGTCCCGCGTGCCCTGTGGATTGCGGGAGTGTTGTGGGTTGTGAGTCTTCATTTCCTAGTAACAGAATCCCACATTCGAAATGACGTAATACTCTGAGCAATCCAGACGCCCATACGTTTGTAAAATGAACTCGGTTTTCTTGGGATCCTCAAATCAGTCGAATCTCAATAGCCTGTGACTGTGGTCATGAATAATGAGTCTTTAGTTAATTTTATTTATTTCGATGATAGCTTGAGAGCAATATATTTATACAAATCGCATTCGTTTTTATTGTCACCATATTGCCGAATGTCGAGTAACTCCCGCAGGAAAATATTACAATCGAATAATCTAGAGGTAAGTATCTTCCAATTGATAAATTACATAAAGATATAGCATTCAATCATTCAATTCTTAACACTTCAAACACATCAGCATATCATTGATATCGAGTGAAAATTCAGGGTGGGATTTTTTTCCTTAGGTCAAGATATGTTTGAAGTTTCTTTCCATAAGTGGGTTACGCAAGCTGAGTGAGCCACGCTGGCCGAGTGAGCCACGTGGACCAAGTGAGCCACGCGGGCCGAGTGAGCCATGCGGGCCGAATGAGCCACGCGGGCCGAATGAGCTACGCGGGCCGAGTTTGAGTAAACATGAGGGTCATGACGCGGGTCGGGCTAAAATGTTGTCAACTGCGGACCGCGCGGGCCTGCGTTACATTTTATGCCGTGCGGGTTGCTGCGGGTCGAGTTCCATTTCATAAATATGCGGGTCGGGGCGGGCTTCAAAAATCTGGCCTGCGCAGAGCTCTCTAGACGTATGCAAACCGGCAAGCGCCCCAATTTTCGTGAGATAAGATCATTGCACTTCATTGCCGAGCTTCTTTCTAAACAACATTTTGAACTTTTTTCCAACCGAAAGGTGAGGTCAGGGCCGGGCAAGGACTGGATTGCGACTCTCCGAGGCACTTCTTCCTGTTAACTTGGATTATAAGTGAGTGGGTTCCTCAAATGGCATACCGACTTAGAACATCGATAAACCCTGTGTTGCGGGCCAACAGTTTACTAAGCCACCGAACATCAAATCTTTAGTTGATGTTCGGTGACTAAGCCTATGTAAACCGGCAAGCGCCCCAATTTTCGTGAAATAAGATCATTGCACTTCATTGCCGGGGCAAGGACTGGGTTGCGACTCTCCGAGGCCCTCCTTCCTGTTAACTTGGACTAAGTAAATGGGTCCCTTAAATGGCATACCGACTTAGAACATCGATAAACCCTGTGTCGCGGGCCGACAGCCAGACAGCTTTTTTCGAGACATGACAAAATTTCACGGGAATAGTTGAAATTGGTGCAGTTGTCGACCATTGGAAGACTAATTCACATATCATTATGTACATAATTTTTGAAGCAAATTGAATTATCTATAACATTTCTTGGAGGAAACGAAAACTTCAGACGTTATGTAGGAGTGTTCAATGAAAAAGGGATGATAATAATCTTTTATCCACCACTGTTGTGTAAAATATTCATTATACATCGCATGTACTTCCTCTAGCAAAACGGTAGCCATTTTTCACACCAGTGAATAATAGCAGTGAATAACCATAATTCATTGATCTAGAGTTCCTAGGGTGCGCGATATAACATATAAGAAACTTTAGACCAGTGAATAATGGTTATTCCCGCTACTATTCACTAGTATGAAGAATACAATAGTAGTCGTGGATGGAGTATTATTCGACTCACATATAATGAGCTATTATTCACTTAGGTCCATTATGCCACTCGCTGCACTCGTGACATAAACTTAACCTTCATGAATAATAGCCCTCATTATATGCTTGTTGGATAATATGCCTACTATAATTCGGAAACTTCCACCTTCCGAGGCGTGCAACTCGAAAACGGTTGAAGATTCTGAATAAGTGTGTGAAAAAATTAGTGGAGAATTTCATTGGTGCCGTTTCCGACATATGAGCGATAAACTCAAAAGCGAAATCTACTTACTGCTCCATTTTCTCCGGCTCACCTCCAGTACGGCTGGACTTTCAGAGTATGTGGACTTTCTAAACTTCGCGAACGAGTTTCTTAAGGAATTGCCTAGGTCCCTGCTCACGCACTCTACATTGAGTGGATTAGACAGACATTGCTATGATTTGACGGATCCCAGAGAAATCATTATTACAATGTTCCTTATTACTTTTATTCGTTGAATACTCTCTTCGTTACACCCTGAATGCATCAATAACATGGGACCATGGTATTCATATTAATCGATTTCATTTCATTTCAGTATGGTCCACGATTCGATTGGAGTGAAACTGTCCAAGGCCATATATTGGGCAGTTATTTTTGGGGATATTGCGTGGGCTCTTTGCCAGGAGGAGTCTTGGCAGATGTGCTAGGATCATACAAAGTCATCTTTTGGACTTGTCTCCTTTCTGCGATTCTGAACTCATTATCAGTGTATGCAGCCCATGTTCATTACGCTCTCCTGATGACTTGTAGGTTTCTAATCGGATTGTTGGCAGTGAGTAGATACTATAATATGATATAAATGGAAGAGGTACCTATACATAAAGGCTATGAAGGCTAGATCGTCCTTCTGCCCCCTCAGGGTTCGAGTTGTATAATATATGGAGGTACCCTTCGTGAATCGATTTTCAGCTGGCCAGTGCAACTGATGAGACTCATGGCAAGTTGAAACAGTCTGTCTTGCATCAGCTGACCATCGATTCACGAAATTGCTCTAGAATCTCTCAGTCTTGACATTCTAGGTTTATCAGTTTCTACAGGGTTCATCATTGAATATAGAAAAAACTTCAGATACCAACGTTGTAGAGTTTGTTCTGAATCTCTAGAAAATCGTACGAGATGAAACACATAAATATCGCTGATAATAAGGAATGGGTACCAACTTCAGCCGTGCAGCCATTCATGAGATATTTGAGGTCAAACTTCCAGTGCATTATTGTTATTTCTGTAGAATGAACGGAACATTCCCAATTCTTCATCGTCACTGAAACCCATATTTTTTTGAAATCCTCTGCAACGAGAATATGACAGAGATTTCGATATGATCAATAACAACCTGCGTATGTGTTGTTGATTCTTATGCATGGAAACTGTGATTTGGTAAAACAAAATTGTGACTAAAAGAGGTCCTACTCGAATATTTTGAAATAGGCTCAATCGAATATCAACAACCTATATATTTTTGAGGTCAGAAAAGATCGATCTTCAATGTTTTCATAGGCATATATAGTGTGTTTCATTGTTAATAACGAAGTTGGTTCCTATTTTTTATATCAGCGATATCCATTTGTTTCACCTCGTACAAGTTTCTTGAGTTTCAGGACAAACCCTACAACTACTGTGATCGAAGATGTTTCTATCTTTTATGATGAACCCTGTAGAAGCTGATTGAATATACGGAATGACTGCTATGAAGAAATGTATATTCAAATTGGTCAATTCGAAGTAATTATATAGGTACCAAGATACAGAGTCGTGTTACTTTTTTAGACATAATTGATTCAGCTTGTATCATTTCAATCGTTTGATCAATTTTCCTGAAATTTCGTACACTCTGTCAACTTCCTCAAATACAAAATGTAGTCAAATTCTAGGCCCTTACTTGGAGAATTTTAATCTAAAGTCTCTCAGAAACAGAACATTGGAATTCTTGATCTTACATGTCATTCCTGACATTACATGGATCAGTGAACTATTAACATCTAGTTACTCCTGATAGGAGAACGATAATTATCTTACTGTTCGTGATTCATCGATGACTGGAACCTTTCGGCACGACAAATAATCCACTTTACTGTTCTACCATTAACCAAACCGATTTCATAGCCGAGGCTAGGAAACCAGCCAAAGCATTGATTCTGCTTTTCTGACATGTGAAACATATACTTTCTACTCAAAATATGTTCCAAATATCATTTTGTGTTCACCCTAGGTCATTGTCAACTCTTAATACCAATTTTATTCAAAATATTACAACAAATTATGCATACATTTGTTGTTATGCAGCATAACAACAAACTTCTTCTGCCTAGTAGAAAATACACCTTTTCTGCCTGTTAAATGAAAGCCACACACACACTAAAATGAATAGTGGTGCATCTACTCATATTGGAAATTATTTAATAGACAACAAGAGTTGTTCTTACTTCAATATTCTCAATATAATTCATGAGGAAAACCCACAAAAACTCATGAAACCACTATGCCATTACATTAAACTAACACTATATAATACAATTTTCTAACCCTAATCTACAGATATAATCTTACACTAAATATCAGAATAATTTCTAACCCCAATATATAGCACACCGAAAAATGTCAAATGTCATTTAATCTTCTTCACTGTCATCAAAATCATTCTCACTATCCTCAGAATCATTCTCTCCTACATTTATAATCACTCGAGGAATATCTTGTAAATCCAAAATATTTTCTCTCTCCCACCAACTTTGAATTATTTGTTCAGTATGGCGAACACTATTGGCCCATATTTCTGGAGTAACTTGCCTCAGAGACTCTTTCCACATATCCAGAGATTTTACCACAGAACTCCCATGCTGGCCAACATGATTTCTATAATAAGTTTTAATGATCACCCATATCATTTCAATTGGGTTGAAAATACTGTATGGTGGAAGTCTCAGTACCTGATGACCATACTGTTCTGCAATAGTGTCTGCCATAAAAACAGGGGGTGGCTTGTTCCTAGAAATGAAAGAATATTTTAGCCCTATAGAATATTTTTATATTTCGAATCTCCTTGGCCCTTACTGGAAGAAAATCCATAGTGATTGAAAAACTTCAAAAAAAGATCAAATTTACACAAATTTCAATGAAACACACATAACACAGTAATTTCTGTGTGAAAAATGTCATAAATATGTGTTTTATTGGATCTTGAATAAGTCAAGTTTTTTTTTATAACTAATTTGGGAAACGGAAATACAACTCATTTTATTCCATTTAATAGCGAAACTTTCATAAATCCATATGAAAAACTGAAAATATTCCGTTTTAAGCTATTGAAATTCACAAATCCTTCATTGCAGCTTTAGAAATTCAGTAGTAAAATAGCATGCGGAAACATAAAAAGTACACAAATCCATTCAACATGTTGTGCTCTCTTCAGATATGTAAGCAGATTTTGTAAACTCAAACATACAGGGTGTTTTTTCGAGGACCCAATAATATGTTGAATTTTTGTTAATCCAGGCTTGGAATTTTTTATTGACGGATATACAAGTCGTTGGGGTAGCAGTGGGAAAACACGTCTACCAAATATCAAATAAATATACCAGGTGGTTCGTATGTCATGAGTCTTCAAAGAAATAACTAGAATTTATAAAACACCCTATATCTCGAAAATGAAACATGTAAGACCCAACATATATGGTATATTCAGAACCACCTTGGTCATCTCTATCCACTGTTAAAGTATTTCCGTTTCCCAACGGAACACCCTGTATAGCCTACAATTTGACCAAATTCAGTAACTGTGGCTTCAGCATTCCATCATAGTCAAACTGAATACGAAATTCGGACATGAGGTCTCTTGCACCATGAACAAAGGATAACTCTTGATATTCCAATACCTACCTTCTCTCCCTTTCCACCACAGGGAAGGACGATGTTCTACGAACATAAAATAGTGATTTTCTTCCGTTCGTCTTAAGCGATAATAAAAATTGAAAATATTAGCTGCAATCCAAAATATGACTTCAACCTCATCGAATTTTGGAATAAATGAACTATAAGATTTCTCAAGCTGTTCAACATCAAGTTTTCTCCCCTAATTTCTAACAAAAATATAGAGATATAAAAGTACCTATCTGTGGATAACTGGGCGTGGGCAGAGATTTTTCTTTGCCCCGAAGTGTTTTAACATTTATTTTTAGACCTGAAAAAAATTTTTCAGCTGATAGTCAGTGACACTTCGTGAAATAAGATGTTGAAGGGTATTTGAGGAAAAAATTATAAAGAAAATATGTGAAGATGTATTACTCTCCATATCAACTAGATCTTTAGAATTCAGAAATTTTGTTTGTATTATTTTTGATACACCTTCCCAACGTGTTATTTGTTTAATAGGCAACTTCTGAGTATTTTTCATGTAGAAATGAAGCTAATCTTTCAGTTGATGATACGAAATAGGTTATTTCCCTTGTTGACTGCAATCTGTTCCATGATATTGGGTTATTCATTGAAATGTACTTCTAGAAGAAAGACATTCTCACTAGCCTGTGTATCATGCTATTATATGCTCCAATTTCATGTTGATAAGGGTGTGTTGAATTATTTGTGTTTGTGAATTTCAAGGGACCAGTATACCCCGCCGTTCAAGTCTTGATTGCGAAATGGGCCCCTCCCGCTGAAAAAGGCAAATTCGTCGCTGGTATGATGGGCAACACCCTATCCACGTGTATCACGTTCCCATTAGTCGGTGCAGTCACGGCAGCTTGGGGCTGGGACTGGGGTTTCCACGTCCTCAGCATCCAGATCCTCGTGTTTTGTGTGATTTTCTTTTTCGTCGCATCTGATACACCAGACAGTCACAAATTCATCAGTCAGGAAGAGAAGGATTTCATCAGAGAGGCTCAGGGTGCGTCTGTTTCCAAGAAGAAGGTGAGATAATTATGATATATGTACGAAATTGACTACTTTTCCCAGGTAACAAGCTGACGTCATTTGTACGTCGATATATGGTCATTTATGGTCATTGACGTCATATGACCTCAAGATGACGTCATTTTGACGTACTCAATATGACGTTATATAGACGTCCTTGATATGTCGTCAATATGACGTCATCTGATGGTCATTTTTATGACTAATTATGACCGTCATTTATTGAGTCATCTACATCAAGGAAAATTCATAATCGAGGAGTTTTCCACCTCTGTCATATGAAAACTTTAGTAGTTATGTTATATAACATATATATTATCATGTCACTCATCATATATTATGCTTTATAATAATTTTTCCTCTAATCTGTGCGAGATGTGTGTTTTCGATGGTCTCTGAGATAATTTTTAATTATATACCATCTGTGCAAAGTATTCTCCCTATAGCTATTAAAAATATAAGACCGAATGTCACGTCATAAAAAGCTTATAACGTTGTTATTCCGGAATGCGAATTCAAACCAGAGCGGGAGAGTGCGTAGAGAACGGTATTTGATTGGTCGGCACGGACCTTGCGCAGACATGCGAACGTCGACCGCCAGCGCCAACCCACAGCCTGTGCCACAGCCGTCTTCACTTTCGCTTCGCCGTTGCGGCCATGATGACCATAACAACAAAATAACAATACATAGAAGGCCATCATTATCATGTTATTCGGCTATTTATGTGGTGTGGACGCCATTGAAGGAATACCATAGGGTTTTGAGGAATCTCTTGAGTGCATCATCCGAATGGGATGAGTTCCCAATAAAAAGAACATTTTATGAAACTGGTATTTATAGTACCTACCTATAATATTATTTTGCATTCAATGTGGTAAAGGAACATCAATATAATTATACAAAAAAATCTCATCTTTTCTGATAATATTGATACAACCCTAATGCAACAGTGTTTTTTTTTACCTACAGAAAATTTCGAAGTAGCACAAAATGAACTGAAACATGCAGAAGATTTCAGTGATATAAATAATCGTAAAGATCACGTCATTTTGACGCCATTAGAATGACGTCATTTTGACGACATGAAAATGACGTCATTCGTCTTTGACTTAGAAGGTCATATAAACGTCATTATGACGTCATTTTGGAAGTCATCCTGACGTCAGGCCTGACGTGATAATGACGTACAAATGACGTCAGCTTATTACCTGGGTTGTTTATACAAGGATTTTTGATGCGAATTGACAACTTTGGTCAAGACTAGTGTCGCTGGATGGTCTTAGTGAGATGAGAGTTCGGACACAGAAATGACGACTGTTATAGTGTTTCTGAATGTTTAGATTCATTAAATTGCACACCTTGCATTGTGACAAGAGCACCATAGTCGTTCCGCGCTTTTTCATTCAAAATTGTTAGAATTCGACAATATATATACTATGAACGTCAGAATTGAAATATAAATTCATGATGAACTATTGAGAAGAAAGCATAAATGAAAATGTCCTGCTGTGTAATGAATTATGGGCATTCGGAAATGAATGGATTTCACGAGGGATTTCATTTATTCAATCCGCCGAAGGAAATACCAACCCCATATTCTCTTATGAAAGGAATGTATGAAACGACCTAGATGAAAAATTGATTTGGACACAAGCACAATTTGTGTGGTACATACAGTGAAATTCACTTTTTATAACATACCAGAATAGAATGAAACCATATTTCAGGCTTATAACTATAATTATGGGATTTTATAAATATGAATTGAATTGTCAAAATAAAAAACGAACTTGCACACTGCAGTTTCGGCATTCTTCAGTATTTTCATCACGAGAAATGCGAAACATGTTGAAGAAAATTATTGCCGAACTATGTAGATTGAAATTGAAAATTTGATAACAGAACTGAGGAAATCAAGTAAATCCCAACGTGATATAATATCATTGAAAGTCGTTTTCAATACCGACCAAATTAAAAAATTATCAGTAAAAAGTGAATGCAGCAAAAGGTGAAAAATCAAAACAATCTTCATGTTTTAAACTTCATCACTCAAATACAGTTTTACATAAAATAAGGAACTAGCTATGAGTATATCCATATGTGCCTATTTTATCATATTAAAATGTTGTTACATGAAATCTCTTTATTTTTATAACTATATGGTTCTGCGAAACGTGAATCATTATACAGGGTGTCCCTAAAAGGTGCGGAAAAAAAGCTACCACAAGTTCCTGAGGCGTAAATATGACGATCTAACCCAACTTACCTCAGTCCAAAAGTGGATGATTCCAGAGATACAGAGTGTCAAAAGTTCAATTTGATTTTCATTTTTTATAAATATTTTTTTTAATAATTGGTGTATTGTCACAATATTCGGCATGGGGGGATTTTGCTGGTTGAGAAATTAGAATTTGCTATCATTTTTATTGTAAAGGTATGAGGGCGCCACTTGCGGAACCTTGCACACATTTAAAACAAAATAACTTTCTTGAGTCACCCCATATTTAATTTTTAAATGAAAATTCGGATTGTCCCACGTCTTTTACATAAAAAATGTATACGTGGTAAGAGTTGATTTGAGCAGCTGTTTTTGAGATATCTGGATTTTAAAAATTCACTTCGTAAATGGCCAGGTCTAAATTATTTCAATAATAAAAATAAAATAAAGTCAAGACAATTGTCTAACAAATAATAAAGTTCTTTTTGTCATGGCCGCAATGTATACCAACGAAGAAATGACCGATATGTTATTGGTTTTTGAATATTGCCAGGGAAATGGTTTAGAATCTTGCAGAGTATACAGTGAAAGATTTCCTAATCGTCGCTCACCAAACCATAAAACCTTCGCGGCAGTTGGAAGACGCCTTCGTGAAACGGGTAGGTTTGCGCCTGTTTCTATTAATTATGGCCGTGCACGTACGGCAAGAAATCCAGAGGTTGTGGAAGAAATTTCAAATAGGATTGAAGAAAATCCTAAACTCAGCAGCAGACGATTGGGCTTAAAGCTAGGGGTATGTAAAAATACTGTGAATAGGACGACCAGAGAACATCTACTGCACCCATTTTATGTTCAACGGGTATACAAGATCTTTTACCCCATGATTTTGAAGCACGCCTAGCTTTCTGCGGGTTCATCCAAGAACACAGAAATCAAGATAGGAACTTTACACGAAGAATTTTATTCCCCATGCGACTAAAGTAACCCATTATCAGCATGAGTTTAAGGTCAATGTGTGGGCAGGAATCATAGGCACTTGCATACAATTAACGTACGTAATTATTTGAATGAACAGTATTCAAATAGATGGATAGTGGAGGCAATGACGCACCTGCAAATTGGCCAGCTCGGTACCCTGATTTGACATCGATGGATTATTTGTTATGGGGAGCTTTGAAAACCCTTGTGTATTCTAGGCCAGTAAATACAGAAGATGATTTGAGGAGACGTATTCAAACTGAAATTTACACTTCAAGAAATGATGACGGAATGCTCCAAAGTGTTCAATTCAACTTTTTAAAACGTATTAGTCTTTGTACACGCGAAAATGAAGGTCATTTTGAACATTTGTTAAAATCTTTTTTTTTTATTAAATTGAATTAAACTTTTGTTGTCGATAAATCTCCTATTCCTATTCCTAATGACTATTTTTAGTAGAGAATAAAATTACCAACACATTTATGTACCTACTTCTTTTTTTTCTAAGTTTTTAGTGACGTTATTTCAATTTACCGCCTACGCTTCGAATGTGTTCAATTTTATTATTTCAATAATTTAGACCTGGCCATTTACGAAGTGAATTTTTAAAATCCAGATATATCAAAAACAGCTGCTCAAATCAACTCTTACCAAGTGTACATTTTTTATGTTAAAGACGTTGGACAATCCGAATTTTCATTTGAAAATTAAATATGGGGTGGCTCAAAAAAGTTATTTCGTTTTAAATGTGTGCAAGGTTCCGCAGGTGGCGCCCTCTTAACTTTACAATAAAAATGATAGCAAATTCTAATTTCTCAACCAGCAAAACCCCCCCAAGCCGAATATTGTGACAATACACCAATTATTGAAAAAAATATTCATAAAAAATGAAAATCAAATTGAACTTTTGACACTCTGTATCTCTGAAATCATCCACTTTTGGACTGAGGTAAGTTGAGTTAGATCGTCATATTTACGCCTCAGGAACTTGTGGTAGCTTTTTTTCCGCACCTTTTAGGGACACCCTGTATATAAATTGAAGTGGGTGTTTATACCCTGTTCCCATTTTCCATCTACGACAATGATGGATTTGGCAGAAAATCGTATCTGACAATCAGGCGCTACTAGGGAAATTTAGAAGTAAAAAGCAGAATATATCTCTTATTTACTCAAACCATCCTAATATAGAAAATAGAGGAAGACAGGAGTTCTGCTGTGTCCGAACTCTTATCTAACTAATACCATGACTCTAGTATTAGCTAGTTTTTCCACGAATCAATCAATTTTTATTCAGATCCCGTTTCATCAATCATCAGAACATACAGTAGGTTATGTCTGAAAAAGTTGGCAGCAAATTGAAAACGTTTTTTATTGCGTCTCTGATATAACAATGACTTAGGCTATATTCCGAATTCAACTGGTCAGTACTGTCAGTAGATCCACTGACTCTTTTGAAAAGCTGTATTCCGAAATATAAAATCAAAAATATAGTGCTGTAATTCGGAACACGTTTTCATCAGTAATCAGCAGCAGTTGATCAGCATTTGTCAGTTGTCATTGATCTGGCAGATGCTCCTGCTTGAGCTAAATAAATAACAGGCATTTTCTGATATCAAAATGATATTATTATTGTATTATTGATAGGCCAAGATTCAATGTTTGGAAAACAACGGAAATGAATGTGTCATTCCTTTCCCCTCAAAAATAATGACAGTCCACTGAAGCCACACTACCATTTGATAGTCAGCAATTTCAGCAGAATGTCGAGTCGAAATATTTGGAATGAATAGTATATCTGCTCACGAGTATCTGTCACTTTCAGTCAATTTTTCTGATTTCGGAATGAAAATTCAGCAGATTCAGTACTGTTAGTTGAATTCGGAATATAGCCTTAATTATGTTATCATTTCACATGATCTCATCTTTCATAAAATGTCAAATATCAAGCATCAATGACAACTCCTGTCTGATAGATGAGCATTACTTGAGAGGAAATCAGATGACAACAAGCCGAGGAAAGCAGAAAATTCACTGTTTTCTGTTACAGCCGTAAGAAAGTATATAACGGAATGCTAATTTTTCACCCATATGATTTGCAGCATTTGCCTACGGCAAAGTTCATTCTCGTGAAAAATAACTATCATTCCGTGCTCGGTAAACAATATACTGTTTTCAAGTTGGTGACATTTTGTTAAGACGTTCGAATTTTGTTGGGAATTGAATAATGATGAGGTCTATATTTTTCCAGATGCAACCACCTTACTTACAGATTATGAAATCGGTTCCTTTTTGGATCCTCAACATATTGCATTTCGGTAATCTCTATGGACTGTATGTACAAATCACCATGGTCCCAAAATTCATGACCCAGGTCATCGGTTTCGATTTGAAAGGGGCAGGAGGATTATCAGCATTGCCAAGTTTAGCAAGATTATTCTCAGGACTTGGAATCGGAGCTTTAGGAGATTATCTGAAGAGAAAACAAGTCGTTTCTAATCTGTTCATCAGGAAATTCTTCGTACTTTTTTGTAAGTATTCAATAGTATATTTTATGTAACAATTGTGTTATAAACGTCCTTTTGGTGACTAGTATTTTAGGCACGAGCGCATCAGAGCTGTGCGATTGTTTAATAAATAAAGAGTTCATAAACGCGTTACATACTATACTTCTTCTACGAACTTATAATTCCTTTTCGACAAAATCACATAATTCCAAATATTAGATCAAATTACGCGGTGCTAACCTACAAATCAATTCGAAGGGAAGGGAAATTGAGAACATGATAGTATACATTTTCATGCAACCAACTAGGCACGTAACTAGGCTACGGTAACGATGGAATACGGTGATAATGGAATACGGTTCTGAATAATTGCTGGAACTATAAAATACAGTGCCAATGAATTGATGTGCCGATGGAATACAGTTCCTATTCGATACGATTTCGATGAAATACAATTCTGATGTTTTACCCAAGCGAAGAATTACGGTACTGATAATTTACTGAAGCTATGGAATGAGGTTATGTTGGATTAGCATTCCTATGTAGTACGGTTCTGATGGAATACCCTATCGATAGAATTTGATTATAATTAATCACCGTGATGATGAAATACTGTTCTGATGAATTACTGTTTTCATCAATTACGGTTCTTATCGAATACCATGCTGATGGATTACATTTTGACGAATTACGTTCTGTTATTATACATTCCTACAAATTACGGATCTATGTTTAACATTGTGATGGAACACGTGCCTATATAGAATACAGATACTATCAATTTCGTTACCTACGGATCACCATTCTGATGAAATATATTCTTATGAGTTATATTTTGATACTTTATATTCTGAAGTTTTGGGTGTTTCCCCTACTGTCGAATCGCCTGGTAAAACTATCTGAGAATGATTCAATAATATAGTGTAGACCAAACCAATATACTGAATAAAGCAAAAAAAAATCAAAAGTATAGTATCGAAATTCCAAATGCCACATCACTTTTCTCCCAAAAGTAATCTATACAAGTATGGATAGTTCAAGGTTAATTTTTGGAGTTGTATAACAATGATGGTAGTAAGATATGGTGCGCGCATTCGGCCATTATTATACGTATTGAAAATTCCAGAAAAATCACTCGACCGCCTACTATGATTTCTCTACGTCACAACGAGCGAGACGTTGATTCTACATTTTCCCGCTAGATGGTGATGCTGCTATTGTTGCTGTGACGAGTGGAAATAAAATGGCAAATGACATTTTAGGATTTTTAGGTACGCGGAACATATGTAACAGTGGGATTATTCAACTCCGAATTCGAAAAATCTGCGACAATTTCAAAACTGACAGATGTCATTATTGTGCAATGTCGCCATCTATAAGAAGATCGACAGAACCATTGCTCTTGCTGTTCTCGAGAGGTAATTACACCATATCTTACTTCCATCATTAGTATAACTATGCGCATAGATTATGCGCATCAAAACAATATATGGGACTCAATCGGAAAAATCTCATATACTATTGTGAAGTCCGAATCGATATGTCTCTGAAAAATTATCTGAATCAACGAAATGCCCATATATCCTTACATAAATTGTGGAGATAACAATACAGCACAAACTAAGAATATAAAGTAGAAAATGATACAAGAGCGCAACTGCTCTGAATGCTTCGTTTATCATTTCTTCTCACCTTCAAAAATTCCACTTCACACTTCAGCTCTATACATGGACTCCTAAGAGTTCAAAATTATCTGTTTAAGTACTTGATTGATGGTGATGCTATGATTTTAAATTAATGTGAATCTATTTTCAGACGCTAGTCCTTTTATCTAGGGAAAATGAAATGAAATGATTACGAATTTTGATATCTGCATGCAATGCATTTATCAACCACTATGATATCACGATCGACTTTGACAACTTCAAATCATTTTCCGCCGAATATTTCTCGGACATTGACAAATGCCTCATAATTTTATAAAGAATTTCTCAAGCTCCCAGCCTTCGACTTCGAGTTGTCACCAAGCAACAAGCTCTCGATTGTCATAAATTATCTCGTCTATTATCAATGCCCTGAGAATATTACTACTGAAATTGTTTCTTCTATTCCGTATGTTATTCAATCTGGTTATATCAGACTTTCGATACAACAAACTTTTCCCCAACCATTTCAGATATAGAAATAATGACACAATGAAATATGGGCCACCCTGTATATATATAATGAATACAAATATAGGATGATAGTATTAAGAAAAACCCACACTTTGAATGCCAGTTCGTTTGAAGAGCTCCACATGTTCAAAAAATCATGAAGATAACGTAATCTGACGTCACTGATTTGATTTTTATGATCCTGTAGGAGAATTTATCTCTTGCTCAACTCAAACAAAGAGAAAGCTTGATTTACTGCTCAACACAAACGAACAGAAAACAGCCTTCTGAATATAGCCTCATCTGAGTAATTTCCAAATTTGTCTTGATTTGGTTTTGATCATTATGTTGATCGAGGGAAAAGAATAATACCTCGGCAATGTTGACAATTCTACTTTTTCTTGTCATATTCATACATTATTGTTGCATTACTGCATCTTCTTTGTTTTCATTTGTCATCCAACTTGATCAATCTGATTCGATTTTCCTGCTCCCTGAAAATTCGCGGAGCGAGTAAATCCTGCTTCGAGTGATCTATGGCAACTTGCTTCAGTCAAACGAACACGCAATCATGAAATTCTCGGAACAAACGAACATAAAAACATATTGCTGACATCAGTTTTGAGCAGGACGAGCATGACAAACGAACAGGCCTAAAAGGTTCCAACGCGTGCAAAAAAGTGCTGCTCTACGGGACTGCCGGAAGGAGAGAATTTGTGAATGTCAACCTCTCGATTGAGGCGACCATCAGTGAAAAAAAATTTTCAACAAATATGTTTCGGAAGATACAGGGTTACTGACAATTCGATACATTCCTTTGGTGATGTGATAGGGGAAGTGGTAGGGAGTGAATTTAACCCTATTATAGATTATGCAAAAGTTGATAGTTTTTGAGATATTCAACTTTTTCTGTTCATCTCCAAAAGGTAGACTTCCAGGGTTTAAAAGTTTGTTTTTCGAAAATCTGCTATACATTTTTTCAACCTTTCAACTAGAATACATGATCAAAACTATGGTCTTATGTTTGGAATGAAAAAATTCCAGAAATAATACATATAATTGATGCATTGTAAAAGCAAAGTCGTATTGCTGTGGATTTCAACACTTTTTAGCGGTTATTTTGAGAAAAATCTCTAAGCCACATTCGTCAAAAATGTGTTAAAACTTCGTTACTGCGATAGCTATATAACTGGGTACAAATGATAATAAAAGTGCTTGATACGGGTTTGTTATTTTACATGAATAGTAACGTACTTGAAAAACTTACAATATTAGTATTAACTTTTTACAAATCCTGTTCAAAAAGAGATCTCTATTACGAATACATGCTTGGCAGCGTCTTCTTATTTCCGTTTTTGTTATTCTAGATGTCAAATTATTTTGTATGTGCAGGGCAACGCCGGTTATATCATTTGTATGAGTTCTTCCCGGGTACTTACTGGAGTTCCATCAACTAGCGCTTCCACCCCAAACAATGATCAAGGGGGGTTAGGTCAGGGCTTCGCGCTGGCCAACCTATTCGACCTGACCTTCTAATCCAACGGTTCATAAAACGTTCATCTAGGTCTAGGAACTGCCAAACGTTAGCCGATAATGCGCTGAAGATCCATTTTGTTGGAATATCATCCGTCCTCAGATGGCGAGAGAAACATCCACATATATCTCTTGTAGATTTTGCTGTTGAAAATGTTCCTACATTTTTCTGTTCAAATCATCTAGGAAAAAATGTGGTGCTATTGAATAACTGTCAATGAGTTTTATCAACACATTAACAAAAAACTTCCGTTGGAAGCTATTTTTCGTTGTTAAACGAGGGTTTTCTTCGGCCCAATGAAAACTGTCGAAAATGAATACTGATAGCCATTTTTCAAGTGTGTTTTATACTATTCCTTTGAAATATCAAATCCGTATCATGTACTTTCAGTTTCATTTGTACCCAGTTAGATGTAGAGCAGATTTTCGGGAAACTATAATTTAAACCCTCGCACTGTACCTTTTGGAGAAAAACAAAGAAACTGAATATCTCAAAAAATATCAACTTTTGCATAATGCATGTTAGGGTTCAATTCACTCCTTACCACCTTCCCTATCACATCTCCAAAGGAATGTATCGAATTACCAGTAACCATGTATAACTTTAAGACGACGCTGCGTTATTATATCCAGTTTCAAGGAATTCAACTGAAAAATTCTCCACTGTGAAAATCATATCACTTCTTGAGAAGAGTTGGTAATCTGTGCCTCCAATCGTTCCAACGGATAGGTATATCAAATGTCGAATGAACTTGATTTTCACTGAATGCAAAATATGGAGATAGTAACGTGAATATTAGCTAATTCCAATCACTAATTTTCTTAGTTTTACAATTTTCTAGTCGAAATAAGTAATATACACACCCTCATTTCATGTATCTACTCATTTTATATTCTCGAAATTTCTCGCCCTATTCATATTATTAATTCAAAATAACTTTCGTCTTGAACTCAATAGTTAAGAAATTATGAGCAATCAAATAAAAATTTGCTCACCAGTAGATTTCAAGAGGTGATTCAGTTCTTTTGCCACCGTGGTCATCTGACGACTATTATCTCTGGGTACCCATGAAAAAACTGATGTATTCAAATAAATCACAAACCAGTGATGAGCTAATTCAAAATATCATAACAACTGCATCCGTAAGAGACGTACCAGACACTTTTCAGAGAGCACCGTTTTCAATAATTAGACGACCAAGAATGTGTTGTGAAGCAGCAGGAAAGGGGGGTATTTTGAACAAAACCTCAATTGAATTTGTGTAAGTTATCAAGAAATTCGGAATCGATAATATTTATTCATACACCAAGGTAGTAGAGAATATCAGTATTACCCAGGGACCAAGATTATATCTTGAGACTTCAGTCGAGGGGTTTAAGGACCATGGTAATTTTATTCTTCACTACCAAGGTGTATATTAATTTCACATTCACGTCATAGCAACAAAGCTTGATTTTGTAAATGTTATTAAGAAGCCTATTTTACAGTATCAAACAGCCATCAATCACTTCCTATTGGACAAACATGTAAAAATCAGAACTTTTTCATGGCAATAGAAATACGTGTATCTATGATAGTCCCCTATACCTGAAGTTCAGTAATCTGTTCATCAAATAGTATGTAGATACCTACAAGGTACATAAAAAGTGAATTTGGGGTGATTAATTTGAAAACATCACTACAGGAAGCACTGAACATCCTATGCATTTTTACATGGAGTGCACTTTCTACTAACTAATCGATCTTGTTGCTTTCTGAAATTCAATTGACGCTTTCTGAAATTCAATTGACTATTTTGACATACAATTGACGCTTTCTGAAATACAAGTTACTAAACTATTCAACACTAATTTCGTCGCACACCAAAATGTCGCCCCTGCTATAATGTGAATAACTTTTTTCAGTTTAGAACAATTTGAATTTGGTTTACACTGTTCGATAGCCCAGTCCTTCAGCTATAATCTCGTTCTCCATTGAAACATAAGGGTATTCACATAAAATCTCTACATGGTGTTTTCCGACACTGTGCGAAATTTCGGAATATTCAAAAGGCTCTCAAATGGTGAAAAACATTTTTTTCTCAACTTGGACAACAGAGGCATGAAGATGATCCCATTACCTCGGGATATTTCGCGAATCAACTTCGTATCTCTGTTATTTACTGAGTGATCTCAAAAAATCAACTTTTTGGTTTTGCAGCCATAACTTTTTTCCACGTCAACCGATTCTGGAAATCTTAGGCTCATTTTGAAGATAAAACTTCAGATGGAGAGATCAATATCAGAATTGACTCAAGATGGCTATCAAAGATCTAGAGTTTTCTTGAAAGTGACCCAAATCTGGAACGCCCTTCGAATCTTGGTTGGGAGGAGAATTGAATGAAAATCAACTTGTTCTCGGAATAACAATTCATTCTGGATGCGTCCCTATTTTACTCGCTCTCAGTAGTCAAGAATTGTGCTTGGGAAAATACAATTTTGAAACATGTTCTTGCAAAAACATTAGATCATTTCTCCTCTGTAATGCATGGCCCGCCGTAACCAACGTTACAAGAATCACAATGAGTGACTGACAAACCCGACCAGCTGAGGCTCATCATAAATGGTGTACCAACAAGAGCAACGGATTTTGATTTTTTCAATAAAGTGATTTTTTTAACAGTTGTCACGTACATAACATGCGATTTAAGAATATGGAGAAGTATTCAAGCAAACAACGTTTATTTCATAGTAAAAACGCATTTCAAAAATGGTGAAAGTTTCACGAAAACAGTTTGCCAATTACGTAAAGTTTTCAGTCGCAATAATGCGCCGCGAACGAATCGACAGTAACAACCAAACAATTCGTGTCGGAGATAAGCCCTTTGAATGGATCGGACTGTCGTGGTTAGCAGATCCGCGATTTGAAGGGAAGATAACCCTTGTTCCCTCATTTGTGGTATCTGTTCCAACTAGTCGGGCGTTAGATGCGGCATCGAAACTATCAAAATCTATTTATGATTCGAAAACGACGTCTAACCTGACTTGTCAGTCACTTACTGTGATTCTTGTAACGTTGGTTACGGGCCATGCATTACATAGGAGAAATGGTCTGATGTTTTTGCAAGAACATGTTTCAATTGTGTTTTTTCACGCACATTTCTAGTGATTCACACGAGACCAACGAGACGAGACTTTCATAAAGTCTCGTCTCGTCTCGCCGATGAAATATGAAGTCTTGTCTCGAGTCTCGTCTCGCAGCCACGAGTCTCGTCTCGTCTCGAGTCTCGTACGAGAGTCTCGCAAATGTATCGCTATTTCGTCATGCATAATCTTGATCCAGTCTAGTACGGGATATTTACCTTTACCTACTTTTTAGGTATAAGGGAAGTAGAAAGAGAAAATTACAACGAAAATAACATTATTAATTCATTGAAAAGTAAGTACCTAATAGGTACATAGTTACATCGTACATCTAAACAAGAGAAAAACTGAACAAGAGAAAAACATAGCATTATATATTCGGAAGTTATATAAATAAGATGAAAAGTAACACGTATATTCTTGACAAAAAAACGAATCAAAAACCTTTTTCCAACTATATTTTACTTATTTGAGAAATTGGTATCTAAGAAAATAGTTATTTGTTTTACTAGGCAGAAAAGAAGTCAATCTACATTTGCTGCCGTGTGAAACATAAAATTTTTTCTCCAAATGATATTGAACCAATTTTGTGTAATTTTTTTATTGAAAACTCCATCATTTTGTGTCAGTGTCAATTTTGAAAACCAATTCCATTTGAATTCCTTGGAACGTTGCATAGCAACTAACTTTTTCTGCCTAGGCAGTGAAAGTACCCCTTTTTTGCCTGTTAAGCGGCAGGAAAAAGCCACTATCCCTGCCGCTTAGAAAAAAAACCTTTATCAGTCAGATCAGCTTTTACGATCGCAAATGTTCTTGTTTTTCACCCAGTCGTTAAGACATATAACAAACATCGTGCAGATTCATCAGATGTTTTCTTATAGAATTCTTTCTAAATCTGTTTTATTATGAATGAAATTCCCTAGTCTGCAGTCGGCACGCAGAAATATTTACCTGCGAGACTCTCGCACGAGACACGAGAAGTCTTGCACGAGACTCGAGACGAGACCAATAAAAGTCTCGTCTCGTCTTGTCCGAGTCTTGTCTCGAGTCTTGTCTCGAAAACGAGACGAGACCATGCGAGACTCTCGAAAACGAGACTCTCGAAAACGAGACTCTCGCGGGCACCACTACACATTTCTGAGTACTGAGAGCGAGGAAAATATGGACGCATCCAGAATGAATTGTTTTTCCGAGAACAAGTTGATTTTCATTCAATTCTCCTCCCAACCGAGATTCGGAGGGCGTTCCAGATTTGGGTCACTTTCAAAAAAACTCTAGATCTTTGATAGCCATCTTGAGTCAATTCTGATATTCAGATCTCTTCATCTGAAGTTTTATCTTCAAAATGAGCGTAAGATTTCCAAAATCGGTTGACGTGGAAAAAAGTTATGGCTGCAAAACCAAAAAGTTGATTTTTTGAGATCATTCTGTGAATAAGAGAGATAGGAAGTTGATTCGCGAAATATCTCGAGGTAATGAGATCATCTTCATGCCTATGTTGTCGAAGTTGAGAAAAAAATTGTTCTCACCATTTGAGAGCCTTTTGAATATTCCGAAATTTTGCACAGTGTCGGAAAACACCATGTAGAGATTTTATGTGGATGCCCTTATGTTTCAATGAAGTACCAGATTATAGCTGAAGGACTGGGCTATCGAACAGTGTGAACCAAATTCAAATTGTTCTAAACTGAAAAAAGTTATTCACATTATAACAGGGGCGACATTTTGGTGTGCGATGAAATTAGTGTTGAGTAGTTTATTCTGAAATACAATTGACCCTTTCTGAAATCAAATTGACTATTCTGAAATACAATTGATGCTTTCTGAAATTGAATTGACTATTCTGAAATACAATTGACGCTTCCTGAAATTGAATTGACTATTCTGAAAAACAATTGACGCTTTCTGAAATACAAGTGACTATTCTGAAATACAATTGACGCTTTCTGAAATTGAATTGACGCTTTCTGAAATACATGTGGAAAAGGTGTAGTGGTTATTGAAATGACGAAAACTACCTTGGTAGTGAAGGCACACTTTACGCCTCGAAAAAGAGAATAAATAATGGTAGGTTTTATTGTCAGTGGTGAAAAAACTATATTATTACTTTACTCAACATTCTCTTTGCGTTACTACACACTTCTATTGAATTTAATATTATTCATTACTCCTCAACAACTAAACAGTTTTGGACAAAAGAGTATGAGTCACTTTCGACTTGAAATTGTTCAAGGAATATACACATAAACTCAGAAAGATGGAAAGAACAGAGAACTGCAGTCATTCACTCGTATGAATTCAAATTGGCGTGATTTATAGTTATTTTTGATCATAAAAAGATGAATTCAAGGATATATTACTAGACTGAGAAACATTCCAGTTAAGTTGCGTGAAAAACTTGCAAGGAAACTTCTATTTATTTTGTATTGAATAATTCATAGTGACCTGAAACATATGAAAACATCCATTACTAGTTCTCTGTACAACTAAATATCGATCTACTCAATCATTTCTTCAAGAATAATCTAATCTAACCCATTCTGATTTGATTTCAGCTCATATTATTCCTGGTCTACTGATGATGGCACTAGCTCTCATTGGATGCAATAGTATAATGGTAATCGTCCTCCTGGTTATGAGCATGGCAGTTAACGGAGCTGCGGTTCTAACTAACCTTCAAAATTCCCAAGATTTATCACCAAACTTTGCTGGTACCATCTTCGGAATAATTAGTTTCTGTGGTGGTACGGCTGGTTTCATCGTTCCTCCAGTTACAGCTTTATTCACTGGAGATACTGTAAGTTGCTTCAATGGTTTCGACATTGTTTGGCCAAAATAGTTAGTTATAGTTTATCCAAAGTGAATTGGAACGTCTCAGGACGCGAATGCACACCGCTCAGTGCGGTGCCAGAAATGCTTCAATTATTGGCTTTTGGATAGACTATACAAATATTTCTTTCTCACTCGATAGAACAATTTGGTCGATCTGAGATATCATTCAAACTCTCACAATAATGAGAATTGATATTCTTATGTACTTGCTGTTCTAGAATGAGGTTTTAATATATCGATCATCGCGTAATAGTCTAGGATAATTAACATTCCATTTGTTTATTCAAGAATACTCAATATCATGAACAAATTAGTTATTCTGGCTGTTTGAAATGAAGATATGGGAAGTAGAAAATCTATTCCAGTTTCCATAACATCAGATGATCTTGATTCGATAGGAGATGAAGATATGTATCTTCCATTACAATATCTTCGTAGTAGTGAATGAAATGAAAACATTAGTTTGTCAAAAGTCAAGATACAATTGCTGCTGGATCATCAATTACTCATTCATGTGATAGCTGCAATCTGAATGTTAAATCCAATCAGAGTGCTATTGAGTGAAGAGGGAGTAAGCCGTGGTATCATCTGAAGTGTAGTCATCTAGAGGGCAACGACTTTGATAAATATTTTGAAGAACTGAAGAAACCAAGTGGAAAAAGATGGAAATGTATTCAATGTTATGAACAAGAACAAAATTGAAGAAATGGGAAATCAACTGATAACTCAGAAAACCTAACTAGGATTGTGTTAGAATAACGAACAACTATTGAATTAATGTCTGCTAATTATGATGATGTCAAGAAAGATAATTAGGAGATTAAAACATTCTTGAAATGAATTGAAAAAAGAAAGAAAATCATTAGCAGAAGATAATGAGATGTTGATGAAAGAATTCACTGATATCCGCAGACTGAGAGCGGCTGATGTGTCCTGGTGAGTCGAAACAGTACTGCGTCGCTCTTACTGACAATTTGGACAACTCTGTTCATCCTAGATGTCTTAGTTATAATATCTAGTTCAGTGAATAGGATAGGTGGGTTACCACTCGAGTATTCAGGTGGTACCATCTGTCAGCAGAGTGTTTTACTTGTAGAAGCACTTCGTATTGTGTAGACGCAAGGGTCTTAACATGTTGACTATAGATGGCAGCGGCATGCCGGCTTCTTTGGAATGGGTAATATATCAGAAGCGTTGAGTTGTCTTAGTTGTTAGCAGACCGAGAGCAGCTGATAAGGCCTAGTGGGCCGAAACAGTAGTGTGTCGCCCCTGCTGACAATTGGGGCAACTCTGTTCATGCTAGTATTCTTTGTTATGAGATCTAGTTCAGTGAATGAACATACTACACTCGGAAATAATATTGAAATCAAAGGTATACCAGAAAATGAAAATTTTGGAGATGGAGAATCGATACAAAAAGTAGTTATTGGTTCGGGGGAGCTATCGGAGAAAGTAGTGGATGTGGAAAGAATTGAAAGTAATACAGATTGTTGTAAAGTTCGGATGGATATATGTTTGAGAAATGAAGAACAATATTAAAAATGTGATAGAGTTTCATCAACAAATGATATAGGACTGAGAATCTACAGAAGTACGGAAAAGTGTAGGTATATATTTTAGGAAAAATCGAGGAAATGCTGAAAATGATTTTTGGTGAAAAAATTGAAAAAAATTCATTATAAAAATCAAAATGAGAAACCTATTATGAAAAATCTATTATTTTGTCAAATTTACTAGACTCAATTGGGGGAAAAATATTTCAACATACTTACTATACAGAGTTACTGGTAATTCTATACATTTCATTTGAGATGTGATAGGGATGGTGGTAAGGAGTAAATTATTTATCCCTGATATGCATCATGCATAACGCTGAACAGGACGCCCAAGAGTTTTTTAGATACCTTCTCGAAGGTATTCAGGAAGATCAAATAACGGCAAAGATGGCACACACACTCAATGTCACTATTCTGTATTCCTGCTATCCAACCAAAAGGGCCCTTTGTGAAGTGGAGAGGAGTCTATGGAACTCCAACGGATTCCTAGTATATTGTGAGTCGTTTTGGTGCCACCGAGTGATTCCTATAATTTTCCTAAATTCTAAAGTTTCTTGATTAAATAACTGATTGGATAACGTACACGTAATTTGAACCACATCGAGGCTATCGATTCGCTAACATGACAATAATTGTGCGATCATTATTGTTTCGATTTATTATGTTATATGTATGTTTCATTGTATATATCCCTATTATAAACAATAATGTTTCTTGGGCTAATAAAAACAATTAATCAAGATGTGAAGAGGAACAGAATTGTTTGAACTAATCTTGACAGAAATAGATGGAAAACTTAGTGATCATGAAAAAGCCCAAGAGTCATGGTCTACACCTTTTCCAATTTTAGTTCAAAAACGGTCAATTGTATTTCCAAATAATCATTTGGATTTCAAAAAGCATTATTTGTATTTCAAATTAGTCAATTCAATATCAAAAAGCATCAAATGTATTTCAAAATTATCAATTCAATTTCAAAATGCGTTAATTGAATTTCAAATTAGTCATTTCAATTTCAAAAAACATCATTTGTATTTCAAAATTATCAAATCAATTTCAAAAACCAATTTGTCATTTGTATTTCCAAAAATATCAAATGTATTTCGTAATGCATCATTTGAATTTCAAAACTGAGAAAGCACAGGCAAAAGTTAGATGGATGTTAGGTGGTGATATTTTCATTCACCCTGTTATTGGAAGGCTTCTGGTTCCTGTCATTGTGTCATCATTTTTTGATACCTGTAAATATACATCGAGACTCAGAATGAATTTGAAAGACAACTGTGCTATCTGCCGGATCTCAATGTTGAGAGGTAACGTGTTAAAAGTTCGTCCTTGCAATCACTTTTTCCATGTTTCGTGTTCAGAAATAATCATAAACGCAGCGGATGCAAGATGCCCTTTATGTAGAGTCGTCCTGGAGGGTAACGAACCATATGTAAGAAAGATTTACAAGAAGCACTCAGATCCAGATAGAAAGAGGATTGTAGCATGTGCAAATAAAGGTGAAGATTGGGTCAGATTGTCATCTACATTGAATATCAATTTTCACACGGCCTACGAATGGATCAAATCAGGTCGTAACCACATGCTCCAAATAGGAGGAAAAAAGCCACGGATTCTTTCTGAACAGCAGATGGACCGAATTATTGAATGGGTCGAAGAAGATTGTTCACAAACATTGAAAATGTTGGGACAAAAAGTGTTAGAAGAGTTTCATGTGACAATCTGCCTTACCACTTTAGGTAACTACTTAGAGGGCAGACTTTTCTCAATGAAGCAAGTACATAGGCAGCCTGTTACAATGAACAGTAATGAGAATAAAATGTTGAGGGCACATTATATTCGTACTCTCAATGATTACATCCAACAGGGCAAACAAACAGTATGGATTGATGAGACAAATTTCAATTTATTTTGTCGTCGTATTAGAGGTCGCTCTCGGGTTGGTAACAGAGCAATACAATTGCTTCCAGCCGCAAGGGGGCCGAATATTCATTTAATTGGAGGTATCTCGGCAGCAGGCGTCGTTGCAATGGACCGCCGTCGTGGCTCTTTTAATGCAGCTGCTGCTAATGAGTGGATTCTACAACTCATGCAACAATGGGAAAACGGGGGAAATCAACTTGCTGATTTAGTGATAGTGTGCGATAATGCTCCATGTCATTCTAGGTTGGCAACGGCATTAAATGACACTGCAGTTACTCTCTTGAAACTAGCACCGTACTCTCCAATGTCAAACCCGATAGAGACAATTTGGTCCAAGATAAAAACCTTTGTGAAAAATACCATGGGCATTCCAGATATAGCTGCTCCTGGAGTAATAGAACAAAGGTTGGTTTACCTGGAAAATATTGTAGACGAAGGCAAAAATACGATTGCAGGAGGTGATTGCGCTCGTGCGGTACAACACTCGTCGACGTTTCACGGACCGGCTTTAGCGTTGGAAGATATGCCTGTTGGACAATAACTTTTATTTAATATCATTATGCATAACCAGATATCACATATTAGGTACATGGATTGTAGTAGACTGACGTTGAAATAAAAATGATCAGTTTTGAAATTGAAATGATGGATTTTGAAATTGAAATGGAATTTTTTTAAATTAAAATGACTGATTTGAAATACAATTGACGCATTTTGAAATTGAATTGATAATTTTGAAATACATTTGATACTTTTTGAAATTGAATTGACTAATTTGAAATACATTTGATACTTTCTGAAATCAACTTGACGCTTTTTGAACTAAAATTGGAAAAGGTGTAGATATTTTAGTATAGAAAACTCGATTATTGTGGACAACTTTGTTGGTCAATCGAAATCAACTTTGAGATCTTTCTATTGTGGACCTTGCTCTGCGAGTTTTGAATTTTTCTGGGATCTATCATTACCTTCTCACCAGGGTGGAAATCTTGAACGGTGACGACACCAACATTAACATGTTCAAAATGTTAGAAAATAAGGAATTGCAGTAAGTCTTTTCAAATACATATATCTCCTAATATACTCGTGATCCCTTCAAAACGTTTCCCGCTATCGGAGAGTTTTCATGAAAAAATGAATTGAATCTCTCACTCATGGGAGGAGTGCTATGACTTAATTGTTTCAACAAAATCCTCTAAAGAAACAAAGGAAGGTTAGATTTCGATGGAGTGCTATCGAATAAAACCGATCGAAATATGAATTGGTTTCCTCGAAAAGAATCATGAAAGAAGAGGATAGAATCAAAAAGGTGGAATCATAGGACAGTAATGAAGTTAAAGATAAGAGTACTGCCCTAAATAATCAAGAAATGATCAAAATGCTTACTAGAGTTAAAACAATCACAAGATATTGTAGAAAACATTCTGAAGAACTGAATTCTTCCACTAAGACCCATCTTCATACCATGTTGCACAATTCTTCTCAGTTCACTGCTACAAGACATGTCATATTCGAATCATAATCAAAGCAACTCCCAAAATATGCTCAGGATGTCTTACAAGGACAATTCGAATGAAGGTTCTCCCATCATCGAATCCATGTCGAAAAAAGTAGAGAGGATCGTGTTTCACCATGTACTGAATGATTACATCATATAATATAAAGCATTCTTGAAGAGGTCGAACAACTTGACTTCACCAAATCACAGAAGCCCCAGTTGTCAGATGCAAAATAATCGAATTATATTGGTACAAATCTTCTTCAAAACATATGTATACATCTCCCTCTGGCTCTTGAAGCTATTTCGTGTTCTTTATATATCCAGTAATATAAACATTATTTGTTCCAGAATGGTACTACAACAGAGTGGGGTTATACGTTCATCATAGGTGGAGGTATTTATTGCCTTACTGGAATAATATTCATCATCTTCGGATCCGTTAAAGAACAGAGTTGGAATAAGAAGGGAGACGAAGAGTGAAGCCGAATATCCTGGAGTTGAAGAAACGCGTAACCATGTGAAGAACAATTGAATTATCGTTGCTTTGGTCATTGCAATAGATGCATTTTCGATATAGATCCATGACACATGTAAATAAAAATCATATAGCTGATTATCCTTTTATATCTTTATTTTTTTAGTCGAAATGGCTACACTATGAAACTCTAGGAAATATAAGGGATCTTACTCCAAATTTTCATTCCATCCTTATATGTTCTCGATGGTTTTATCCAGTATCATATCTTGAGCCTTCATAGTGCATGAATTATATGTATCAATTCCAATGTCACCTTGTGAATGAGAGCAGAAGGTACAGTAGACATTTTTGCTGAGCTGAGCTATGTTGATATTCAAGATACTTCATCATCTAGGAAAACAGCATACATTTTGAAAAGAAATATTCCCAGATATATTTATGAACACACACAGAAAATGGATATATACAGGGTGTCCCTAGACCAGTGGGACAGTTGAATATCTGCTGAACCAATAGGAATTTTCAAAATATTATAATTTCACATCATATCGCATTATGAGTGCTAACTTCAGGAATGATTTTATACGAGGGGCGCAAGAAAGGCTCACAAAATCGAACATCAATTTTTTCAAATGGAACACCCTGTATTTCATTGCATTTTTATATTCTCCTTGAAGAGCTGAATTCAACGACCTAGCACAATTGGGGTCTAGCGGGAATGATTTCCGAGATATAGGGGTGGAAAATCGAGATTTTTCATTTTTGGGAATTTTTTGTGTCAAAACTATTCATTATTGGTCGAAACGGCTTACATGTCCATGTCTCAACTTTTGATTTACTATTTACTCGTATTTAATTGAAACAAATACAGGGTGGTGTAGAATTCTCAGTTTCAGTCAGGAGGGTACTATCATCTGCAAATCTGTGGATGGGGCAAGTTGTTACTCGTAACAGATCATTGATATGAAGAAAGAATAATGTTGGTGCTAAAATTGATCCTTGTGGAAAGCCGGAATTGATGCCAATGGTAAATCAGACGATACACCGTCCACCACCACGTGAAGCGATCTGCCTGAAAGAAAACTCGATAAGAGATGGCTTAGCTGAGGTGGTAAGCCATATGATGGTAGTTTGTGGAGGAGTCCTTCGTGCCAAACACGGTCAAATGCTTTCGATATGTCCAACGCGACAGCTAGAGATTCCCCGTGTTTTTTTAATGAAGCTTGCCATAAATGGGTGATGTAGGCAAGTAGATCTCCAGTAGATCTTCGGTAGCGAAAGCCGTATTGTCTATCATTGATGATTCCTGAGCTCTCCAGATATTTGGTAAGCTCAATATTGATGACTTTCTCCATCACTTTGGAGATTACTGATAACAGTGCAATGGGCCTGTAGTTGTCGGGCAGGTTCTTGTTCCCTCTTTTGGGAATTGGTTGGACTCTATCTGTCTTCCAGCATGATGGAAAAATACCCGACCTGTACGAGACGGTTAACAACTTGCAGAGAATTGGTGTTAATTCTGGTGCACATTTTTGGAGGATATAATGGGTGGAATTCCATCAGGACCGTTAGCATGAATTAATCATTTTCTTAGAAATTCAATGAAAGTGTGAGGAAAATTTGTAATACTTCATTCTGGTTGCCTGTTCATCAACTTCAAAAATTCCATATCACAGTTTACTAAAACCTCATTATTGAGTTTGAAGATTCAATAATAACATTAAATTAGCGAACAAAACCGTTTCCACAATTAAATCAATTTATTCAAAAGTGACAGATAAAATTCCTGCAATGGCACAAACGAATGTGATCTACAGTATCCCCTGTCAGGAGTGTGACAAACTCCATATAGGCCAATCTAAAAGATCCCTGGCCAACAGAATCAGCTCCCACAGGAGCGATTGTAGATTGCATCCAGAAAGATGTGCTCTTGCAGATCATGTCAATAAAATGAATCATCGTATGGACTATGATTCAGCTAGAATTTCTGAGAATTGAAAATAATCTCACTGAAAGATATCCTTCCTACAAATGGCATTCATCTCACAAAACCCCAATTGCATTAATTAAAGAACTGATAATCAACATTTGAGCAAAATATTCTCATCTCTTGTATCCTTAGACAAACAATCTCAAATTCCCCATAGCATTTTGGACATCAATAATTCCGAATAACAACACACAGTTTTTCTCAAAATTCCTTATATTTGAGCTTCTCCAGTATATTCTGTTGTATTTCATGATCTGCCAGCTTAGTTAGTTAGTATGTTTCACCGTTTCCTGTTCCATTCACTGAACTATAACCCTACAAATGGAATGCCGATGCATGATTTCAATAATACGCTCATTTTAGAACCTCGCGCAGACATGGCGGATTTAAGGTTGTGAGCATGCGCACTTATATTGAAACTAGGGCCGGTTTTGCCAATGAACGATTATTTCTTGCCCATTGAAGTATGTTGAATTATCATGTAACATAGTGTGTGAATTTACATTTTTCGGAGACTGTCACCAAATGTTGACATTTGAACACAAAATACTTCGGCGTTATTTTGCCGAGATTTCAATTATAATGTATAATACAATGTGAATTCACGTTTTTTGAAGACTGTCATCAAAAAATGTTGACATTTGAATACAAAACACTTCAGCGTTATTTCTCCGAGCTAAAAATCTAGAGAAAAGAAGATGTCAATTTTTTGAAACTCTGTCACAATATTTATTGATTATTGGTGGGACAATAACACCAAAATTTGTTAATTTTTTGTCCAATTGTCAGCCCACTCTCTATCTCAGTTTGTTGTCTCTCAAGGTGATACAACTTTATTTTCAAGAAATATCTCTACGATAGTTTTTATCAGCCTGAGTTTATGATTTTCTAAAAGTGAATTGTCAAGGACATGATCATCATAATAGGAGGAACCTCGTTTTCATTACCGATTTCGGCACAAGAACACCATGCATTCCTGATCCATATTGTCTAATAATAGTATTTTAAATGAGAAGTCACCAAAATCACGGTCACAACTCAAAAATATAAACGAACAAAATACCATCCAAATACCAGGACACAAACACGAATCTATAAGAGACACGATCAGAACACAAAGATACAATGGAAATAAAAACCATATGAAAACGAACAATAATAAATGGGCACAAAAATATCTAAGCCTTTCCTGATGGGAGCACACCTCATCAACAACATAAGTCTGCGGATGTAAGCAACTTCGATAATCACATACATTATTTTCATATCTTGGTTCAACTGCGCCGGAGCAGAACCTTAAGGTCAAGATCTCCATGGAAGGCGTAAAATATTCACGAGCAGGTAGCTGTATCATCATTCCATTTGTAGGGTTATAGTTCAGTGGTTCCATTGGGTTGAGATTTGGAGGATTACTAACACCAGTAAGTACCATAAGGGTTAAGAATTCTGACTTACGACTAACTCATGTCAACCAAAGTACAAGAAGAAGAAGAATCATTCTAACCTAAATCTTTCAGATTCGTTAATAATCGTTTCCACCACGTTGGATTTGAAAATTCAAACATCAGGGCGATCCGGAATCACAGGGCGATCCTCCGACACCATTAAGACCTTCTGGCAATTCTTCAAAAATAACAATATTCGCATTACGAAATCACATAGGACTTTACCTGTTGCGATTTCCAAATCAATCCCAATAGGTGAAACCGTACGTTCGCATTTCTTAACAGACAGTTACCATTTCGTCAAGAAGCACAATCCAAACTCAAATACGGTTTCACCTATTGGGATTTCCAAATCTTGATTTGGAAATGTCATCAAGTAAAGCCCTATATATATGATTTCGTACGCTCGGCAGTTCATAACAGACAGATGTATACTATACCAACTCACATAGAGCTTTACATTTTGTCAAAAAGCAGAATTCCAACTAACATATGGCTTTACCTATTGGGAATTTCAGATCATGATTTGACCAACAGGTGACCTATGTGACTTGAATCTCTCTTTGTTCTTCTCTACTTGTCTACTTCTCTAGTAAGCTCATAAAACAACTCATTTTCACCAAAGGACATTGACGGAATTATCGAAAATTTGTTTCCACGCATTTGTGTGGTCCTAAAATATGAATCCAAAACCTGAGTTTTGCGCTAACAGTGTTTTCAACTTCTGGAGAATCTGAATTCTTGGGAATACTTTCTTTCGTAAATTAATCTGAAGCTTCGCCGTTCTAAAGACGAACATCGTTTAGTAGAATGTAGTTGGACCTTTTTCAAGGTTGACGACGAAGGGATGTGCTGACTGGGCCTGCCGAGTTTGTCTGACTGATTCCGCCAGTGATGAAATTATAGCAGAAATTTCTGAGGAACATTTCTCGTTGAAAAATCTATGAAAAAGTGAGCGGTCGCCGACTTTTGTACGGTATTCTTATGAGGTCAAAGAGTTGATGAGTGTGGCATCACTCACCAGGAGAATGGATTCTTTCTGGATGAATGCATGAAAACGAGAACAGTACTCTTTAAATGGCCGTATAAGTGCTTTGAATATATAATTAGGAGCTGTTGATGTGTGAAGTAGATTTTTTCACGGAACAAGGATCCGAGTTTTTGTGAACCAGTTTTGCGATGGATCAGACATGATTTTTCAATGAGAGAGTATTGCTGATGGTTATACAGAGCATAAAAATAGGAGTCACCCACCATCATATTGTAACAAGGATTTTGATAATATATATATATATAAAAATAGGAGTCTTGGTGAAAATGGTGGTACCATTGCTATATCAGGCATACTGAATGCCGCCTTTCTAGAGAGAAACCTGGCTTGAGTTTTGGTGGCGTTGAATTCTACCAGGTTGTTGGTTTCCCAGGTTACAATTTCCTCAAGATCTCCATTGACAGCGTCGCGGCCTGCCTTCGTCGTAAGCTCTTAGTTTCCTGGGACGAAATGTAAATTCTAGAAGGGAACGCAGTATGGAGAGTACTATCGTCTGCAGAGCTGTGGAGTGGGCAAGTGGTTGCTTCCAATAGTTCGTTGATATGAATTAGGAGCAATGTTGGTGCCAAAATTGATCCTTGTGGAACACAACAATTGATGGCTATTGTATCAGTTGATACTCCGTCCACCACCACATGACGCGATCTGCCTGAAAGAAATCTCGATAAAATTTGGCATAGCTGAGTTGTGGAGCAGTCCTTGGTGCCAAACACGGTCGAATGTCTCCGATTTATCTAACGCTGAAGCTACAGATTTTTCTTGTTTTTCTAATGCAGCTTACCATATATGGGTGACGTAGGCGAGTAAATCCCCAGTTGATCTTCGGTGGCGAAAGCCATATTGGAATGTAAATTTGCTTGTTTTACCAAATAATCTTCAGCTATCGTCGCTAATGGGCAAACATACCAAAACACATCGGCTGTGACATGTATAAATAAAAATACAACCATATGATTTAGAGATATCGTCGTCAATAAGCAAACAGACATGTGCCGGAACCTATCAAGGTTATTTGAACTGCGTTAAATACAGCCATGTGGCGAAAATAAATAAACATATTATGTACACTGATTTGCCACAGAATCTCTTTTATTTTTATAACAAATAATTGGGAATCATTTCTAACGTCTTGGATAATAATGTAATTCATATGAATACCTCAAGAGCGCAGTGGAGTGGCATTATAATGCAAAGGTGCCAGGTTCAATTCCCAAGAGCGATAGAAACTCTTACTCGTCACCGATCACTTGTCAGCAGGAGAGGCCATGGCACCTATCGTTTTGGCACATGTCATTCTGGCACCTATCATTTTGGCACATCATTTTGTCACCTGTGTTTTGGTACCTGTCATTTTTTTTTTTGTAATTGCATACCTCGTTGGTCCCAGCACTGGGACCAAACGCCCCATAAGTCGAAACTTGTGCGGGGTTAGGTATACATACAAACACAAACATCCATGGCCTAACTAGGATTCGAACCTATGTCTCCGTGGGAGTCCCCATACGAACTCGGCGCCTTCACGCTTTCGACCACCGAGCGGCCTTGAGATGATAGATGCCGAAATCGTTGGGTAGGTAAGGTTAGACGTCGGCTCGAAGGTGGGTTAGATCTGATTGGCTTGGCCTAAAAAAAATTGTTCTAAAATTGTTCTATACGTTATTCGGCTGCCCCCTTACGAGCAACCCTCAGAAGTATTCGAGAGTCTTGTGCGAGCAAGGAATGAAGGGGGCCTTACCTTTCAACGTGTTATCCCAAACACTTTCTTGGGCCATCAGAAATATTTCTGCAGTCGCTGGAAATTGAACCCGCGACCGGCAAGCGAATGCGGATTAGAATACTGACACTATGTATGGCTACCTGGTGGCTGAACTCAACAGACATTTACTGGACCAATTAGATTTGATCCAGAATTTACAGGAGCGTACCCATCGAGCTAGTTGGCTTCTTTCTTTGAAAATGTAATGGACATTATTCTTGATCAGAACAAAACAGATATACAATTCAATACCCTCTCCGAAATGCAGACTATCTTCAAATTCTCAGTTTCAGTCAGAATTCTACACCACCCTGTATTTGTTTCAATTAAATACGAGTAAATAGTAAATCAAAAGTTAAGATTTGGACATGTAATCCGTTTTGACCAATAATGCATAGTTTTGACACAAAAAATTCCCAAAAATGAAAAATCTCGATTTTCCACACCCTATATCTCGGAAATCATTCCCGCTAGACCCCAAGTGTGCTAGGTCGTTGAATTCATCTCATCAAGGAGAATATGAAAATGCAATGAAATACAGGGTGTTCCATTTGAAAAAATTGATGTTCGATTTTGTGAGCCTTTCTTGCGCCCCTCGTATAAAATATAGTCATTCCTGAAGTTAGCACTCATAATGCGGTATGATGTGAAATCCTAATATTCCGAAAATTCCTATTGGTTCAGGAGATATTCAACTGTCCCACTGGTCTAGGGACACCCTGTATATAACCTCAAATTTTATTCTGATCTCTATAAAGTGCTATACGATGATACACGTCGAGCTTACGCAGTGTTTGAAATATTTGCACTCATGTCAATACCACCCTGTATATATTCTTTTAATATAAAGGCCACCATCTCACCATATTTTGTCGTATTCCTTCGGAAATACCCGGAGTGTTCTGAATCACCCGGCACGGAACAAAAATTCTTTGGTGAAACTGTTTCACTGTTTCTACAGGGGTATTACATTCACAAAGTTCATTTGGTCCAGAGATACGCCGATGTTATAGTATCGTATGTTTTTCTCGAAAAAGTAATAGAAAGCGAAAAAGATACAAGAAACGAAAATGTTTTTCTTAGTACTAATATTCAAGTAGAACCCAAATGAAACTCAGATGACTTTTTTTCACAAAAAAAATTCTTGCTCGATGAGTACGTCCTTGGAAGTTCTGAATCGATTCAATAAATGTCTGATGATGTGCTTGTGAATAAACCATGAAAATTCCATTCAAATCGGCTCAAGCGTTCTCAATAATAAAGAACTAAATGTTTTCAAACTTGGACTCGAAGCATTTTTGAACACATCTCCATATGATTTTTTTTTATATTTTGTTGGGACGAATCTTTCCTAGGCTTTTGTCACCACAACTAGAACACCAAGCATTTTTGGACACATCTCATATGCACTCTTTTCATATTTTGTTGGGACGAATCTTCCCTAGGCTTTTGTCACCACAACTCAGAATCACCCTGTATATACGTAAAATTTCATCAAAAACACGATATAAGGTGTGGATGTACATTGGTTGTTCTCTCGCTTCCTCAGAATATGTTTTCCTTATGTTCTGGTCTCCACGAAAAGGGATATCCTGTAATGTTCAGGGAACATCGTGAGAACCAAGGGAAATAAGGTGGGAGTTAGTGTTCTTCTTGAATTTCTGGAGGTTATATGCCTCGGGGAACACCTCCTTTGAAAGAAAAACCAACCAATTTCCGAAGCCAAATACTTTTCGTCTGTAGACACTAACTTTTCGTTCGGGAACACTTTTCGTGTGCTGCAGAGTTGCCAGTTCTACTAAATTTTCAGTAAACTGGTACTTGCACGTCAGCAACTAGTCCCTAATGGGACCTTTTTGCAAACCCCAAGTGTTTTCAATGACTGATGTGGTTTGCTAAAGAGAGCTAACATCCTAACATCCTTTTCAGGCACCGCCCATCAGCTCTCTTTCAGAGTTTTTCTTCTGTGTTTTGTAGGCTAGTAATGTACTCACTACCATATGCGCAGTGGCAGGCCTGCTAGCTGTCCTCGTTGACCCCCGTTAGAGACAAGGATCCAATAAGCAGCTGGCCCGCTCTCACGCTCAGCTGGTAGTTTTCCACACCCACCTACATACACCGTCCTAGTTCTTCTCTGATGCTCACAACCACATCATCATCTCTTTCTGCGTGTTCTGTGTAGGCTTTGTTACTAACTCCATGCGCCACTTTAGGAGCAGCACTGTTAATTGGAACGCAACAGCGAATCGTGCAGGACTATCCCCAGCCGATAAAAAATTTTCAGTAAATATCCTGATTTGCATATTGATCTACTGATCTACTGACACATTTCATAGCCTACAGAGAAATATTCTGACACTTATAAATTATTTTAACTACCTACATTATTATCAATATTCAGTTAATCACATACACTTATGAATTGCATGATATTTGGGCACGCTCTGTTCAAATAAATTTTACAAAATTAATAATGAATCAACATATAGGTACCTACTAATGATATGTATATATAGACCAAAAAAGGAATGATAGTGGAGGTAATCAGATTAGTAGGTGGAGAAAACTGTTCAACGAAACCTATTTCCATAATAGGAAGTAGAAAAAAATTATTAGGATTTCGAAATTCATATCGATAGAAGAAATTTCTTTTCCCAAGGAATCGTTACACTATTTTAAATTAAATTTCTCACACTACTGCTTTCCAACAAATCTATGGTGGGGATATTCGACAGAACTACCATCCGTGTGCGACTAAGGTTGTATAAATCTTGATCACGTGGGGTACGGGATTAAATGAATACCCTATATAAGTTGAATGGCCTGCTCCTTCTAACCCCGCACAAAAGTTCTGACTTCTACGTTCTTGTGTGTTCAATTCTGGTTGCAAATAAAGTTTTCTCCAATATTTTTAATTTTCTGATAGCTCTCTCTATTACAAGTGTCATATGACTAAAATTACTGACTTTTGGTGACATCGGGAATCAAATTTCATGCTCAAGAAATATTTCATATGATTTTCCAAATATGATCGAATTAGTATGTATCTATGTAGATGTCTAGATACACTTGCAACTGAAATAAGTAGAAGATCCATGAAGACCATCGATATATTTCGAAATGAAAATTGCGACGAGATTTTGGATAGGATGTATGGTGTTCTTAACAACATACACTTGCTATACTACTAGGGTGAATATGTCCATTAGTATTGTATCAATGACGAAGAAGGGGCATAAATCCACACCAGAATGCATCATGAAGAGTGAGTCACACAACAGGAATGAAAGCAATGAAACTACTGACACATCACCTCGAGACGACTACCCTGATGTGAGTTATTTACTATTGATTCTATGACGCTCTCATTTCCTAAGTACGATTCCACTGAGTGGATTACTTTCCATATTCTTATATACCGTGAAAAATGTATGATGCAAAAGTTTGATAGACGATTACTTGTATCACGAAGTGCACAATATTTATACTATGCCGCCCCACTATTTATTGGGGATAATAAGTTCAAAAAATCTATTCAGGAGGAGTTTAGTTGCTTTGGAAAAACTAGAAAATTCGCAGACTGTTGAAACACTACAATGTTCATCGAATCATAATTTCAGAATAAATATTTCTACGATAGCATTGATCCGCAAGAAACTGTATATAAAATTTTGCCAATTTTGGTGAATAGCAAGTGTTAGGGGCTCAGAGACATTCCTGTCTTGTGATTAGTTAGTTAAAACAGGTTGAGTGCCACCATGTATTGAAAAATATCGGTTCCAGAGGCCGATACATTATTTTTGCCTTAAACATCAAATACTAACGTACCATTGAAATTTACTTTCATTTTTGATGTGCCGGAATTTTTGGAAAGTTGAAAATGGCGCTTTATTTTTGGAGACCACATTGGTCTCACACGGCCCCTCATTCGACCATTTTGTTCACGCGGCTGCGCGAGACCAACGTGTCACTACGCTATGCGCATGTCTGCATGTTGAGAATCGTAGCGGGGGACCGGCAGACCGGCTCAGCATGTCTCGTGATTGTGCAAGAGTCAAATTACGTCCTCGTACGAGAAAAAACAGAAGCAATTGACGAAGTTATGCCAGAAGGTGTTGTCCGATGAAGACGAAAACTGAAGCAATCAAGATGGAGAATCACTGTTTGGGGACGTGTATCTTTCTGATGAATATCAATGTGAGTCATCAGTAGATTCTTCGTCATCGTTCAAGAATGCATCTTCCAAACAACCGAGAAAACGTCCCAAGATCAAAAAGAGAGACGGTGCTAGAAAAACTCAAACATTCAGACATGATATATACCGTCGAATGGTGATGCAGTTTCTAACAGTAGGTATATTGTTCAACAAATGATATTCATTTCTTTCTCAGAATAATCTGTATGATTTTGTTACATGTTCATGTTGTATAAATGAAGAAAACTAATAAAAGTACTTATATATTGCGTGAGAAAAAAAAAAGAATTTCAAAATTTCCTAGCCACGTACTACCAATTTGGTCTCTCATATCCAAAGGCCAAAATATGCCTCTGGACCACCAGGCCGCGCTCTTTCGAATGCCATTTAGTTCATAATGCTGCGAGAGACCGCTGTGGAGATATGAAGCCAAATCAGTTGTGGGTATATGCGAGACCATATTGGTCTCACGCGGCCACAAAGTCAGAAGTATGTGCGAGACCATGTTGGACCGTTACCACCGATACAACAAGGCCTGCATGCTCCGTGGGTGACGTCACTTAGTGAGGCCTAACCAGCGGCTCGAAACGACAAGCGCTTATAGCGCTATAAGGCGACCGCGTATTTCGATTTTAGTTTTAGATCATCATTGAGCCGATTTTGCTGTTTTTTGAAGGGCTTCCGGTTAAAAAAGGATGCCAGTCGTCAACTGAGCCCTTCCTTGCACCCCATTCGATTTTATTATGGAAAAACGAAGTCTTAAAGCAAAAACCAGGATAAAACACAAATATCCACCTACAGCAACCCATTCGAATTGAATATATTGAAAAAAATTGTGGTGAAGGTAAACTTCACACCTACTTATACAGGGCCCGCGGAACATAAACTTATCGTGAGATTGATCGGAAGAAAATTGCGGTAAATGTATTTTATTTTGATTGACATGCCGTTTGTTACAATTGCCTATATGCTCAGATACCTATATCCTCAGATACATAATGTGATTCAATATATTCTCAGTTTTTTATATATATATATATTTACTTTTTAAAAATTTGTTTAGTAATTTGAATGTCTGTACTCATCTGTTATACATACTTTGATGTGAAATATTCATGAATGTCTATATTTACCACTATATATGTAATCATTTTTGTTTTAAACTGACTTTTCCTATATCATTTTATAATGGTCTCTTGGATGAATAAATTATTCTATTCTATATTCTATTCTATATTTATCTTGGAGAATTCCTATTACCTGAAAAAATAACCAGTGAGTGTTTTCAATTTCCTGTTGTTGGATTTTTCACCCAAGTGGATCGTTACACTTGAAACCGTGACCGTAAAACTGCATTTATCATGCGATGGTTTTTTTTTTGAAAATTTTTTTTGGTACTCACGTATTTTTGTCTGATAAACCGAATTTTATAATGCAAATGTGAACAAACCACTATTTATTGAGATATTTCAAGAAAAACTTCGAAATTTTGCCTTCTTTCTCCCCTTGTGTTGGGGGCAATTGAAGCTACTTGCTCTTATTTTGTCATTGGACACTTTATAATATACTCATGATGTACTTTGATGGCACATTTTCATATAGAAAATTCAACAGGAAATATAATTTTCATGGCGAGTTTTTCATATTTAGTGAACAAGCATTCCAGATGACGACCATTTAATCAATAGTCAATCAAAATACGAGATGTCAATAGATTGCTTTCGAATGACATTACACACGCCATTATTTTGAATGATATTCTTCCTTCTTTTCACTAAATATGGATTAATCTCAAGAAAATCATATTTATAGTTGGATTATATATAAATTGTCCAATATAATGAAAAAAGAAGGGAAATTTGTTCTAAATGCCATCCAGAAGACAGGTGAAAAAGAAGGTGAAATTTGGAACTTTTTAGTCAAATATCTTCATGATAAATATCATGATAAATGCAGTTTTACCTTTTCAAGTAGAGTGTTTGTAGTTCATGTTAATATGATAGTTGCAATTTGATCATTGGAATGAATTCTGCATTCATTGCCACGAGGCAAATGACCGTTTTCAGAAAGAAATCTGAGAATGAGAATTAAAAAATCCCGTTTATTATGAACATTCAAGAAAATTTCCTCGAATTCAGAGATGATTTTGTTGACTATAATGTACGAATACAAAACTAATTGCACAATCAAAGCTTTTCTATTTTTCCTCTGCTTATACTTTTTATGAGAGAGTAATTGTCTTCTATTATTAATTCATCATTATAAATTGAGCTCTGTTTACTACTGAACTTGGATGGAGATGGAGTAAAATCCTCGCGGTGAATTGCATATACCTACCCACATTTTCGATAGCTCCTCGTCCAACGGGAAACTAAAAGCATGAACTTTTGAACCACCCACATAATTCCCCCGACAAAAGGGAACACAACACTTGAAAGGCATTGTTATTTCGCCGATCACAACACAAAATATTTCACAAAACAGTAATTTTTCCGCCAATTATTTTGATGAATAAACAACAAAAGAATTCGGGACCGTTTCAAAAACATACGTGAATCACCGATGAATTAACACGAACTGACGCGTTAGTCGACAAGCGATAAAATAAAACACTGGCCTCTCTTGGTGACGTCACGAGCTGTTTACGTCAGAGTCTGCTGGCCTTATTGTATCGGTGGTAACGGTTGGACTCTCACGGCACTCAACCTGTTAACCGAGACGCAAAGCGGCGAGGTTAGCTGTAATCTCGAGACAGGAATGAAACTCCCTACCAAGGTTTGTATACTATTCTATTTACAACCATCGTATTTCTATCAAAATTAATAAATCCATGTTTCGTTCTGAACATACCTAAATTATTACATGAGTGAGGGCGGGAAGTGAAGGCAAGAAGTAGTGAAGGGCGGGAAGTGAGGGCTGGAAGTAGAGGTGTGTAATGTGACACTTCCCAACCTTCAATGACGTTAGTAATGACAACATTACATATATGGTTGTAAATAAAAGTTTTTTTGTTTACTAGTATGGACCACGTTACGAATGGAGTGAACAAGTTCAAGCACAAATATTAGCATCTTATTTCTATGGCTACGCTATATTCTCCCTTCCTGCGGGTTTTCTGGCTGAATACTTCGGACCCTTCAAGATAATTCTTATTGCACATATAATTGCTGCTGTCTTCAATACCCTATGCGTTTATGCGATATGGTTGAACTGGGGAGTGCTATGCTTTTGCAGAATTATACTGGGATGCTGCGGGGTGAGTATCTGTATATTAAAATCATGATGAAATTCATGACTGTTTATACATGTATTTAGTGAAAATCTATGGATGTGAGGCCAATCAGAATTATTCCATCGTTTTATAGTAAAGTTTTTGAACATGTTTCTTCTTCCCAAGATAGAATAAAATTCAGAATAAATTGAACCAAAGTATTTTGAATATTGATACCATTGTGTGATTTGAATCTCGGAGAATGAAAACATCGAAAGCTCGACCTAAAAACGAAGAAATTTATTCAATAATACTGAAAATAGTAGCTCCATGCAGGAGCTTGTTTAGGCTTTGTAGATCTGATGAATGGAAACCTAATGTGTAGGTGAGACGTATAATAATGTCTGATGTTCATTGGAAAAAATAATTATTGTTTCATGCCAAATTTACAGAATTTGCTTCGCTATCAATGGTTACACCTTTGGAAACATTGGCGCTGATAGACCAATCACAATTGAAAGACAGCTAATTTTCGCGATAAGCACACGTTGTCTCTGGCTTGTGATTGGTCAGATTATGTGATCAGTGAAATGTTGAATATTATTCGACTATCTCTTTTTTTTTTCTTGAAGCGCAATGAAGGAAATTCCTATAATGTTCAAAGATGATTTCGACCGCGAGTATGATAGATCTGATAGGGTCTTGATAGTGATTGAGTCCCAAGCCAATCTTTTATAATAGAATATTACACTAGCACTAGACACTGTTTGACCACTAACCAAACCGATTTTTCACACCTCGACACGTGTTTCGCTAACTATGTTAGCATCTTCAGGAGAGTATTGAAATTAAATGCGCTATCCTAGTGGGCAACTTTTTATATACAAAGTATATGTCCACACAACCGTGAATAGACAATTACCGCCAAGCAGATGTTATTCATGGTTGAGTTGACATGTTATATTACTAAATTATGCAGAGGGCTAAATAGGATAGATATAATGATGAAGATGAAAAGCCCCGTGTGAGAGTCGAACTCACAACCTCTGGGTTACATGCCCAACGGTCTGCCAATTGAGCCAACGGGTCGTCCGTCGATCAACCGGCAGGGAGGTCTAGTTTCTCAATTAGCGTCTGCGGACGGCCGCAAGTAATAACTCCGTGGGAGAACGTTATAGTGGGCAGTAGATGTGACTGGCGTTATACGGCGCCGACTGAATGACTTCATCATACTTCGTCTCGTAAGCAACTGGTTGGCTCAGTAAGCAGAGCATCGGCATGCAAAACCCCTAAAATTAAAAAGCCTGAGTCAGGTACCATGGTTCATGAGGCAAAACCTATTCGTCAGGGTTATTGAGCCACTGAAAGAACAAGCTTTCCTCGAGTTCTACAGGAGGATGGAACTCCGCGTAGATGACTACGACTCGTGGAAAGATTTCGTTGCAGCCAAACCACCTTAATATTCTAGGAGAAGACGGCCGAATTCAGAGGTAAAGGCAATCATCCAAGAAATTAATAAATCTATGTATTTGTTAGCCAAACCAGATGATATACCTGCAAATTTATGGGAAATAGTACATAAAACACATGCGAAAGAATCTATTGAAGAAAAAGCTGAACGAATCAGGAAGATAATGAAGGAGGAGAATGCCTCAAAGGACAATATCGAGGAAATGTACTTCGATTTGGAGAAGTATAAAGACCGAGAGGACTGGGAAACTATGTCCTTCCCGTCCGACTCCTCTTCAAACAGGACCAGTATATCACCTAGCCAGCTAGAGTATCCCTCTGAGGAGGATACCCAGAGGGCTAGAGACTTGAGGATGAGAGGAATCTGTAGTGCAATAAATGTCCAGATCCCACCCACTGCACTACCGAAGTCTCCGAAATCCGACTCTGAGATTGATATCGAGAGAGCTGTCTCGAAAATAATTGAGGCTGAAACTCGACGTACCTCAAGTCACAGCATCAACGACGATGGTGATTTCAGAGAGGAAGAAATATCTCAGGTATTACCTTTGAGGGGTAGAACTCCCTCCCTGCTACCACCATCTAGACAGAAGAACCTCATTCACGTCGAAGCAGACGTTCGTGTTTCGGCCTACCAGGAGGAGACTCCCGCAATCCCTAATAAACTGATGCAAATATACCAAGATGGTATACTTGCCCAGCAACTCCAAGAAAAGGAAACCGAATCGATGGATACATCTTCACCACCAGAGAGGCGGCTCGAGAAAAGGCGGAAGGAACAACATACCTCAATAGACGAAATCAGAGCTCAGAAAAGTTTCAAAAACCCGGGAGACGGATTTATCGTACCTAGGAAAACCTCTAGATGGTCTGGTGCGTTCAAGAAGAGAGAGGAAGTTATATCTATCAAAAACAGATATAAACCATTAGCGAACATAGGACAAAGTCCTAAGCCTGATAATGCAAGCAGTCAGAAAATACCAAGCTCTTCTGAAGACTCATCCGATGAGGAGAGGGCCTCTACGAACATAAGGAAAACGACAAACAACAAAAACCTTCCTAAAAAAGATCCCAAAAAACCAACACCCACCCAAAGGGAGAAGAAACCACCACCCATTGTATTTGACGGGTTACTGACAGATAGGAAACTGATTTCTTCAATGATAAAGGAATTTACTTCAAAACCCTTCTTCTTCAAATTTGGTAGAGAATCCACCCTCCTCTACATGGATAACAACGACGACTTCGAAATACTCAAGTCAAAACTCGAAAATGACGAAGTATCGTTTTACACGTATACTCTTAAGAAGAATAAGTCACACGCATTCGTGCTGAGAGGCTTGGATTTTAAGCCGGAACCCTCGGAGATCAAGGAGGATTTAGAGGAGGTCTACGAAATGAAGATTCGCGAGGTGTTCGCGCTTAACACGCGGTTTAGGCCTCTCTACTTGATAACCACCGACCCTAATGTTTCGCTTAGGGATCTCAATGACAGGGCGAAGTATGTCCTATCCACCCGGGTCACTTGGGAGCTCAGGCGAAACAATAGGGAGATCTCGCAATGTAAGAGGTGTCAGATGTGGGGTCATGCCACCAGTAATTGCTATAGAGATTATAAATGTCTCAAGTGTGCTGGTGGCCACCCCACACCTGAATGTAAACTTCCTAAACAAGAGCCTGCCAAATGTGTAAATTGTGGGCAGGCTCACCCTGCAAATTACACTGAATGCGAAGTGTACAAACGAAGAATACATCTCTTGCATGCAAACAAGAGTGGTAAATCGGGCAGACCGGCCTACACCCCTGCCCTGCCTCCTGCAACGAATGCGTGGGAACAACGCAGAACAGAGAGAGAGACCAGCCTGACCAACCGAAGACGAGAAGTTCCACAACAGCAGCAGCAGCAACCACCGCAGAGCCAACAACGCAGTGGAGGAGAAACGTCAGGGGTAAGTCAGGGGGGTGATGTTCTGACGGACCTGGCAAATGAGTTCTGTCTCTTGGAACAGAAAGTGAATCTTGCCGAGGTGCTCAGGGCCGTCAGGGACTTGAATGCAAGCATTGGCAACGAGACAAACCCCATGAGGATCGTTCAGATCGTGGCGGGGTTTGCTAAGAATATTGGTAGATACAATATTAATGGTATAAATAGGCCTTAAGGTATGCAATATTAACATTAACGGCATCAACAATAAGATGCCGAGTTTTGTTAATTTTGTATATCGCTACAGATTGGACATCATTCTCTTGTCCGAGACGAAACTCCGTCCTGACCATAGGTTTTGTGTGAGGGGTTTTACCACTATCAGGGCAGACCGTCCTGATGCGGATGGACATGGGGGGTAGCCATACTGATCAAGAACAACATACCCCACTCAGTGGTGTCGCGAAGACAATGTTCTATAGAGCATGTCGGCGTGAGGCTGCTGAGTGGTGAGACCATTTTCTCGGTATACAACAGGCCCGGAATTAGGCTCTCGGAAGAGGGCCTGGAGACTCTGTTTAGTGCTGGGAACAAAGTGATCGTAGGAGGGGACCTGAATGCGAGACACGTCGATTGGGGGAACGAAGGGAACAACACTAATGGGAGAGTCTTGAGGGAGTACTTGCAGGCTGCAAATGTCCTGCTGGACCATCCTGATAGTCCCACGCACTACCCCTTTAACGGAACGACACCGAGTATAATAGATATCGTGCTGACCAAGAACGTTACGTCATTGTCAACACTGTCAGTTGTCGACGAGCTGAGCTCTGATCACCTGCCAGTGATATATAGTTTTGGAGATAAACCACGCGACACTGAAAAACAACTATATGACTATAAAACCACAGACTGGCAGAGGTTCAGGGCTCTGCTCGACGATAAAATAACTATTAATCCTAATCTCAGTGTCTCGGAGATTAATTCTGAGACCTTGAGGTTCTGTGATGCTATAATCTCAGCAAGAAATATGACGACGAGATTGGTCAGTATCGACTCCACCAAGGATATTCTTCCAGGGGACATTCTTGAGCTAATAGCCGAAAAGAAGAGACTCAGAAGGCGCTGGCAGCGGTTGAAGACCCCCCAAGCAAGGTGTGACTTCAGCCGCACAGCCCAGCTGATAGAAACCAAAATCAGAGAGTTCAGGAATGCCACCTGGAGGGCCAAGGTGGAGACCCTAGATCCCCGAGATAACACTCTTTGGAAGATGACAAAGAGGCTGAAGAGAAAATGCACCCCTGTCCCTTCCTTGGAGTGTGATCGCGGGGAGGCGGTGTCAGATTCTGAGAAGGCGGTGGTACTTGGGAAACATTTTCAATCAATCAATAAGATCAATAAAAATCCTGAGGGAGAGGTTCAGGAGGACATGGCAGCCGTAGCGACCCGAATCAGGGCTCTACCTGTGGTACCTTTAACTCATCGAGTCCTGGGTCGAGCCATATGCAACCCCACTGAGTTACAAAATGTAATAAAAAACCTGAATATAAATAAGGCTCCAGGGCTCGACGGGATAGATGTCGTTCTCCTGAAAAACCTGTCTCGCAAGGCAAGGGTCCAACTCCATTATATTATCAATGCTATAATCAAGTAC